AACTGGGATCCTCGTCACTTCATATTATGGAAGGCACTGCTCTACTTGATGAAAGTTTCTGGTTACCTTGGTGAAAGTTTCTGGTTACCTTGGTTTGGCAGCGCCACGCAGGCAATCCTGGCGTGCAGAAGGCAATCATGACGTAACGTCGCTAGAATTACCTTCGCCACGAGAGTTACGTGGCTTCCTCGGGTCCAGTGGTGTGACGAACAGTGTGCATGGTACGATGTACGAACGATGAAAAACCGAGCCGACGACGACCCATTTGCGGAGTATATGAGGCCACCACGACAGGGCCACGTCTAGGCTATTGCCATATCACTGTGTCGCAAAGCACTAGTTTCAAGCCGCCTCCATTTCCGCGCGTTCTGTCACAACAATTTGAGCGGACACAAACATAGACGCCATTTTTACTTTTTGCTGATCGGCATTAGAGCGGGTCAGCCACGACCGGTGACGTCAGACGATAGCCGACAGCCACAGAAGGCGACAGCCACCTATGCTGACGTGCCGCGCGCCGGCTGCCGGTCCGGCCGTCACCGCCTCCGCGACCGCCCGCGCGCCGCGCGCTCCGTCGCGTCCGGCCGCTGCCCGATCGACCGCCGCCGCAGTCGCGGCAACGTTTTTCCGCCGAGGCGCCACCCGAGACCTGGACTCGTCCCGCCGAACCAACAGGCTGAATACACAGCTGGCGGGCACAGCTGGCCGCTTCCCGAGCCGACGGCGGCACCCCGTCCCGGTGCGGACGGGGGTCGCGCCCCCGCCCCGCCCGTGCTGAAGGTGCGCTCTGGAGCCAGACGGCACCGGAGTCTTCTCGGCAGCACGCCGCACTTCGCAGACACCTCGTCTCCTCCGCACTCCGCAAACATCGCGTCTGCGTGTGTTAGATCTCTTTTGAAATGCAAACGAGACGCGGGCGCGCTCTTTGTGTGCGTGGCAGAGACGGCGAAGCCCGAAGAAATGCTAAGTAATGCATAGCAGCCGAAAGAGCTCCAATCAGATGGGGCCCTCTTCTCGTGCGTATATCAGCCCCGGCTTTATCAGAACGCCATGCTGCATGCGTCGGACTTCGGCCTCCGGCGGGCGGCGCCTGACGGCGTCTGGAGAGAATGGGAAGGGCGAGGTCCGGCGCATGCTGCGGACAAATGCAGACGCGCTGCCGTCATGACGTTTGATGACGTCATGTGCAAGTGCGCTGCTGTCACGGGGTTTGGTGACGTCATATGCAGGTGTGCTGCTATCACGGGGCTGGATGACGTCATATGCAGGTGCGCTGCAGTCACGGGGTTTCATAACGTCACTCGTCAATCTCGTGCTGCGGTGACCATCGAGCAGAGCCTCTGGAGGATATTTTAACTGAGAACTGGTGTAATTCGGCTTGGTTGCCAGACAAATGCAACGTTATGACTGGACTGTGTCCGTTACTGACAAGAGGGCCGGGGTGCAGGATTCGCACCAGTATTAAATAATTAAGTAAAGAATTACCGTGCCAAATGCGGTACAGTGATAAAGCGACACACACTCTTCAACTCCTCAAACAAACGAGATTTTACTGTAACTGTCGATTCTCGTTGACAACCTCTGCCACTTTAATCCAAGGACTGGCGTGCCACTGAAAGATTCGAGAATTTATGTTGACGATACGAACACAATTCATGTGAGTGCAAGCGCAGCGATGCTCCGTGCCCTCCGTGGCGCGGCCGGATACTCTGTGGATGTCTGAAGACCCCTTCATGTGGGTCGTGTGTGTGTGCGAACTGGACGGCGACAGTATCACGCGACCGGTCAACGGCCTGCTCTCCGCAGTGGGAAGACCTGGCCGTGGGCGCGGGCCGGACTCGCCGCAGCCAGCGCTGTGCAGGAGAGCGAGGAGGAGAGAAGGCCGTCGTGATGGCAGCGTAGGGCTGATGTGTCATAACTGACGCTGGAGTCGCATGACACATATTTTTCTGTATAACCAAGCCATCGACGTGACAAACTCGTCGATGAACTTCGCCCAAATGGCTTGTCGAGAATGAGCTTTACGAGCATATACACATTGTGTGTATATTCAAAGTACACGATGCGTATGAAGACAATACCCTTCCGAGCATATACACGATATGTACATATTCGAAAAAAGATCGTTCAAGGCATTTAAAACATTAGACGCACATGTTTAAGTCGTCTTAAGTACGTCTCAAACAAAACGTAACGCATTATTATATAGTATTTGATTATAACATAATGCAAACAATATAACATAAGTTACCAATTTTTTAAACACACGTCCAGCTGGCCGTTCAAATACCACACGCTCGGGCGGAGGTCAGTTTGACCTTCTGAGATTACAACAACTTGGAGAGCTAGAGACACCAAAATTACAGAATGGGTCAGCCTGTATTAAAATCATGCATCAAAATTTCGCGCTCCTAAATCATGACCTTTGGGTCAAGTAAGATCAAACGAGGTCATCCTACAGATTGGTGTCCAAAGTGCTTCCAGGCCTCCTGATGCAACCGCCTTAAACCCAGATACCTGTTCTAAGCAGAGTATCACTGATACTCATTTTAGGTCAGTGAGCTTGTTGAATCGTTGGGTCATGGTGAACAAACACCGACGATACTGATTTCATTTTCAAATATCAATAAGCGTCAAAGATATACTGGGTGGTATGGTCCTAAATACAAAAGGTTCGACCAGAATCATTTAGATCAGTGACCCGCTCCAAACTTTACGAGGCCAACGGAATATTTCTGCTGGGGCCCCTGTTATAAAACAATCGAAATAATTCTTAGAAACGATCTCACCAGAGGTTCTCTAGAACAAAGAAGGTAGTTTTGAGCTCGGTCTGACCTTTATATCTGACCCAAGGACACTAAAATTTGGCGTAAACCTAAATTCCATTGTTAAATCGTCTAAGAAACTATCTAAGAGATGCCTGGCTTCGTCCACTACTCGTCACATCAGTTGAACGATTCGCTAGAAACTGTCTTCGCTGACAGCCACGACCTGACTTTCGACCTGCCATAGGTCAGCAGCCCTACAATGTACATCTAATTTTGTGAACCAAAAGAGCCCCTATCCAATTGCTCACAGCTATGCAAAGTTTATCGTGACGAAGCCGCGCCTTTCGGCAACTATTCTGGAAAAACCTTCGGGGCTGAAATTCACCCATCATCCGGGCCGGTGTTAAATAATCGAAACAACTTGTAACGCGTTGCACGAACAACCCTTGACCTTCAGTGCAATCACAAGAAAGTCTGTCAACTTTCGTTTCTGTTGGTTTGCCTTAAGCGCGGCTATGGACGCTTGACACCCACCGGAATGCTGAGCGCGCAAAATAATGCTGGATACACGCACAGGAGCACTGTACACGCAAATGGACACGCAGCCAAACAACTCGAGGAACACCGGACGTGCATCGGAACACTGGATATGCACAAGAGCAATGGCTATGCATCAGGACAATACAAACGAACGAAGACACTGGACAGGCGGAGGGACACTAGACACGCACAGGGATACTGAAGATGCGTATGAACATTGGACACGCACACGCCCTTGGACACGAACAAGAACACCGGACACGCGCACGTCAGACCACATTCTGAGCTGGCCCGGCGCCGCTGGGGGGAGGGGCCCGGCCACACCGACTAACGGACACGAGATTGGCTCTCTCCGTGGGGAGGGAGACGGTCCCGGGGCGGGCGCCTTTCCCACCGCACGCCCCCGACGAATGTCGCCGGACGCATCTCCCGCCGCCGCCGCGGTGATGAGCAATTTGCCTTGCGGGCAGCCCCACCCCCCACACGGGACGCGCGCCACAAGCATGCCGCGGGAATTCTGCGGGAGGACTCGGCGAATGTGGAGGCGGAGCTCGGTGTCCCGCTCTTGGTGCAGATGGCTCTCGGTGAAGGGAGTGATGACGCGCTGGCGATGCATGGGCGGTAAGTGATTAACGTCAAGAAAACCGCTGCAGCTCGCACGACTGACGACGTTATTTTCTCACGCCTTGAAACTAGAGCGGAAAATCGTACGACCAAAAGTAAAGTCTACTGCATGCACTTTCGTGCAAGTACATTCATTTATATAGCGCGCGTTGGACCGGCCCCTAACCGACAAGCACATGACAGCTGTTGCGTTCGCTCCATATTCTGCCCACACAGTTTTTGGGCCCCGAAACCTTTTCACCACAAAAATGACAAATGTGAGGCTCGTAACGTCGCACAATACATGTTCCAGACGCTGATTCAAATGCATTCTGAAAGCAATTATAATTCGCTGGGTTTTGATGGAGAATTGGTCTACTTCAGTCTAAACAAAATTGAACGAGCTTTGCCTTCAGAAACTCAGAAACCACGCGTGATTCAGTACTGCGAATGGCGTGAGCCCACCAAGAAAAGTTTCGAGCAGGTATGGCACCAAACTGATGACACTGGCACTACTTTCCACCGCAAGACAGGTCAAACGACCAGAACACTGCGAAAATCCTGTATAACGCTGAGGGGCGTTTTGATACAAAGTGTTGTGATTCTTCTTGGATCTTTGCAAAGTTGTATGCGCTCGCTACTTTCAGAGCAGCGATACCAGCACCGCGCAGAACTTCACATTGTGCACTTCAACAGGAAACATCTGTGGAGCAGGTACGGGCCAGTTGTGTATTTGCCTACGTACAGGGTAGACCATATATCCTCACGCTCCCGAGCCTGCCAATGTCAACACTATCCCGGAGCGGAGGCAGTCACCCGTGCCGCCCTTTGGCCAGGCCTCAGTCCCAGGCTGGCGGCACGTGCAGCGGTACACAAGCTCAAACAGTTGGCGTGGCACGCACCCCACACACGCATTACGATTACTCCGGCGACGGCCCGCACGCGCCAACCATCCGTGAGCGCTCGTGGCTACTACAAATCAGCAGGGCTCAACCGAGGCCGCCCCAGGCCGCTGTACCGTCAGCACCGGCCTGCACGACACCACGCCCCAGGGTCCCCGGCGAGCGGTGGCACGCAGTCCGAGGTCGTGACCTCGCCCGGCGGCGCCCGCGGTCACTGGCGGAGCTTTGCGTCACGAGGAGCACGCCGAGGTTGCGCCGCCAACGTCTAGGCGCGGTAGTACTCGACCATAGTGGGGTCCTTAACCCGCCAGACCTCCTTGCTGGCGAGGCTGACCAGCCAGCCGGGCTCGAGGCCGAAGAACACCTGGCGCGGGTCCTTCCGCATGGTGAGCACGCCCTCCTGCCGGGAAGAGGGTAAGCGGTGAGAGCTGCGCACGGCGCCTAACGCTCACAAACGCGCTGTCGACAAGCCACATCCCGGAAAGCGCCTGTCACAGAAGACATCTCTGCGTTTTGTATATTTATTGCGGTATCTGTGTCAGCGCGACGGACAGAGCTACACCGCTCCATCAGCCGCTCCAGCACCGCACAGTCAGCATGTATTGTACGTATGTGTTACTTCCATACAGCCATACGGAGCATGGGTATTGCAGCTCCGGGTCAAAAGTGCAGGAACTAAGAAAAAATAAAAAAAACCCAGACACAAGCCATAAGACACACAGTTGGACACATTTTCAACGGCTACCAATAGCACCGTCTTTCAATAAGTGCGCTCTCACCGCGCGTACAAAACGCTGCCGTGTCATGTAATGTCAGCTGGCGGTGCGTCATACGATGCTGGCGCGTGACAACCGAAACGTCCCCTACCGGCCTGAGGACCGGCTTGGGAGGTGTGGGAGCCTATCCTGCCGAATAGGTCGCACACGTGTGTCGCGGTTTAACACAAACGCGGCCCGGGTACCGGCCTTAGAGGGTGTGGGAGCCTATCCTGCCGGGTGGGTCGCACACCTGTGTCGCCGTTTAACACAAACACGGCCCAGGTACCGGCCCTGGGAGGTGTGGGAGCCTATCCTGCCGAGTGGGTCGCACACGTGTGCCGCCGTTTAACACCAACACAGCCTGGGTACCGGCCCTGGGAGGTGTGGGAGCCTTTTCTGCCGAGTGGGTCGCACACGTGCGCCGCCGTTTAACACAAACAGGTCTCTCAGCACATCCGGCTCGCCGCGTCGCGACACCTTACAAGCCTGGGTGACCGCCTGAACTTCTACCATACGCGAGGCGACATCCAGCACTGGCATGAGCGCGTCGCCTCGCCGCCGCCGTCGCTGGAGGTGCCGGCGGCGGCCGCGTTCCGGCGTCACACGCTCTCCCTCCCCACCCGGGCCCCAGGACCGCCGAACGCTGCTCGGGTGCTCGGTACGTACGGGTCCGCGGCTCGCGCCACACCGCTGACAAAGAAGGTGAAGACCAACACATCCGTTTGCCTGGCTTTCTTCGTGACAGAACGCTGTTAAAGGAGTGCTCCACACCTTTGTGGGGTTTTGAACTGAAATAGCCATCTTGAAGATCATTCGATGCACTTCACAGCCCTGGCCTTCTTAAGACCTAAAAATCTCTGGTTTCTGAGCTACACGCCCGCGAGGATGTGGATATACTTTCGGGGAGGCTATTTCAAGGTTGTCACCCAGGCGTCCATGATGCATAATGCCATTCGTATCATGCTATTCCATTAGCCATGCGGCGATCAAGGCCAACAAAATATAATTGCCAACTCTTTCATGTCTGACCTTCGTGAGCACGAATTCCAGAAATAACGGCCGGCAAGTGACCCTCAATCAATGGTGCGGAGGGTGCCAAAACATAATCAAACAATGATGTATTGAGAGACATATTTACTGAACAGATAAGTTATGCTTTATAGAGCAGTCTTTTCCCCTTAAAACTATACCAATAGTTATAAGCGAGCTTATTTTATCGTGTCTGATGCTTGCTTCACTATCTTCAAATGTGGAACATTCCTTTAACCAATGCACATCAACACAACAGGTGCGCCTCGTCAAGCGTGGTACAATGCCTCATTATCGGACGCCACAGCTCGTAGACGCCAATGCGTCCCATCGCTGCCGAGACGCCGCCGCCTTCTTGCAGGGGGGGGGGGGGGGAGGGGGCTTGCGCAGCTCAGCAGGTGGAGCGCTCGCCCACAGCCGCGCGCCGTCCAAGTCGATCGAGCCCCCCTCCCCCGAAGTCGAGTCGAATTGAGGGCTCGAGCTTCGCCACCGGTCTGGCGTCGGGCCGCGCCGGCGACAATCACAGTGTGGGACGCCAAAAGGCCCAAAAAGCTGCATGCGTGTTAAACTCACGCGAGTTTACCAATGTCCTTGAGGCATGAGAAGTCATTGTAAGGTACATAACATTTCATATTTGTTAAGAGGTGGTTGGCGGTGGTAAAGCTTGGCGAGGCGGAAAACCACATTGAGATTTACTGCCTCCTCCCTGTTCTATAGGAACGGTTCCAGCTTTGTGCAAAAAGATACGTGCTCCACTGCGAGTACAATACAAGCATGAGGCAGCTCTATTGCATGGCCAACATTCACCTTCACATAATCCAACGCGACGTAGCTGAAAGACACGTCCACGTTCAAGATCTGAAGAACGCCTTTTTTAAAAACCGGCTGAAAGCTTAGGCCGCACAAATGCGCGTGCCCCACACACCACTTGCCTTCTCCCGCGCTTGTTGTCGCGGAAGAGATGAACACACTTGGGGGGACCTTTGTGTCTCTTTGGGGGTGTTATGCCCTCCCCCTCCCAAGTTGAGCGGGTTTCTACCAACAAGGCGTTCAAACGTCACTGTTTGGCTAGAGAAGGCCCGGCAGAAGGACGCATCGCCCCACTGAAGGCCCGGTAAAAGGGACGCATCGCCTCACTGTTTCGCCAGAGAGGCCCGGCAGAAGGGCGCATCGCCCCACTGAAGGCCCGGCAGAAGGACGCATCGTCCCCACTGAAGGCCCGGCAAAAGAACGCATCGCCCCACTGAAGGCCCATCAGGAAGACGCATCGCTTCATGGAAAGCTGGAGAGCGACGGCAAAAGAGCTCAAAGCACCTTCCCGGGCCGCCGGTAAAGTCAGCCAAGCCACAGGAGTGCACAAGCATCTGCGGCCGTGAGCCCCCGCCTAGCCTGTAACTGAAAGATTGTCCCCGAACAGACCAGGTGTGATAGAAGCTTCTCCAGAATTCAGACTACTGAGTGATGCTATTCCGACGGTCGGCTTCCCAGCAGACACTCCCGAGCGCTGTGAAGACTTTCCAAAACAGCGTGAAACTTCTCAACAGACAGCAAATGTGTCTCAATTTAGATGTCTCGATACGCTTTACCCCTGGACAATGGTGCAGAGTCCGTGACACCTGCCAGCTAAATCGAACTGAGCTCCAGTTCAGTTCCAGTTTTTTTTTGGGTCGGGACGCCTTCCGACGCCAGCGTATTTCGCCACACAACACTGTATTTCCCCAGGGGTTTTCAAAAGAACAATTGCAACCAATTTCTGGTATTGACGACTGAAACAAAACGGACACTGTTTGCTCGGTTCGCTTCAAAGAATTAACAAGGCCAATGCAACACTCAATAAAACAGCATTTGGCGAAAGTTGCAGGCTGAAAATGCCTAAACTAGCATCGCGTAACTTAGTTTTCGTCTAAAACTGTTTAAAAAAACAGGACGAGAGCTTTCAGTTCGCGCTAGTAGGTCTTTCAGGACTTTTGTAAGACGCTCTGTGGGCATCACAACACGCTTTGTGCGCCACTTCAGTAAGAACGACGCAAATGCACCGCTTAACCCACGTCGATGCTTACATGACACCCATTCACTCTTCACACACACGCGCAGCAGAACTCTCTTCGAACACACCGCCGCGACCCCCGCCCGTCCGCCTCCAAAGAGCCAGGCTTCCATCAAACTGCCAACTCCGCACGGCGGCACCCCTCACCGCGTCAGACAGGTGTCGGAGGCGACTCAGGGCGGCACACCCGCCTCACAGCCGGCGTTCGGGGAGACAGCCGCTGCAGACGGCAACGGAGATGGGGGCCGGTGAGGTCAGACGGAGACCATGCCATCAGTCAGTCAGGCGGTCTGTTCCAATCCGACGGTCTATCATCACCAAGCCGTCTCCCTTGTCAGACCGTCTCCCCTGATTGGACGACCTCCCCTGACCAGACGGCCTCCTAAATCAGACCGCCTTCCGTAGTCGGGGCCGTCTTCGCTGATCAGGCGGTCTCAGCTGGTCGGAATTCAGATGACCTCGCCCAATCACAAGGCTCCCCTGGACCAGTGTCTCAGCCGGGGGATATAGCGGACTCCCCGCTCCCCCCTGAGCCCGCCCGGCGCGCGTCGCCCGAGCGCACCACGAGCGCGGCCGAGCCGAGCGGCAGGCGTGCTGGACCCGTTCAGCGACCAGAGCGCACGGTTCAGGGAGCCAGCTGGATCAAACCGCGGACCAGTCCGGCGGCATCAGCTGGCGCATCAGTCCAAGGGCGCCGGCCGAGGGAGTCCCGTCAATCAGCGGGGCGGCGGCGGCTCTGTCCGGTGCCTGGCCGCAGGCTCTAGAGCGGCTCCACCACGCCCGAGCCGTATCGCCGCGGCCGCAGCCGCCGCGAAGCCGCCAGCGCTGTCGGGCCGAGATACGCTGACAAAGGCGTGTTTGTGCGGCGGGGCTCGGCGCAGCGGCACCGGCCGAGCGGAAGAACAGCGCATCGGCGGCCGTGCGAGCCTGACCGGCGGCGCGCCGGCGGCCGACGGTGCGGGCTCGATGAAGCGGAACCGACGACAAAGCGACCGATCAGCTAGACGCGCCTGCTGGCTGCTCCAAATGGGCGGCGCGGTTGTTTCTGCAGTGGGCTGTGATGGAGGCTCATCAAATACGGGAAAAGGCCATCACGCCTTTGCATATTTGACTGCATGGGCCAGGGAAATCTCGTTCTTGTTTTCTCGTCGACATGCATTTTTCGTTAAGCTAGGAAAGTTTTGGCATAAATCGCAGCCTGAAGCTACCTGTCTTAGCCGAAGAGTTTACTCGATTCTTCCAAATTTCACGAACGCGCACGCTGTACGCTTGCCTGCAAAGAAACCTCTGTTTACGTAAGTACCTGAGTTGACATTTGGCGACTATGACTGGTTCAGTGGCTTGCTTGGAACGCCACGCCACGGTGCACCGCGACACGGTGCTTGTTCAGATGTTGGGTGCGATGTCAGAAATAATTACACGCGCAACCATCAACTCGCCTGTCAAATCAATTTACCCAAAACTTGGGGAACGCATGTGAGAACTTTCGCACCTAGTGGTGCCAGATAACCGAGGCGTTGAGACTGAGCACAAACGCTCCAATTGATCTCAGATCACCAGCGGGACCATTGCCAACACCCGTCGAGCGCGTGCCATCCTGAAGTTGAAGAGCACCGCCGCACACGTCCTCCACTCAGCGCGATCCGACTGCTGTTCCAGATGGCCGATGACTGGCGCCAACTTCTGCGGGCTGCTCGTCGCGGACCGGCCGACTCGGTCACCCTCGGGGGCGTCGTGCAACAGCTTCCGCCGCGGCCGGGGGCGGGGCGGTGGGGCTGGCCCAGCCGCGGCCTCCCACCACAACGGTCCGGGTACCGGGCCGCCGACGGCGCCGGCGGAGCCCCGGCCTCAGACACGGTGAGGTGAGGGCGGCGAGCGAGCGGCGCCAGCTGGGCCGGTTGCGCGGAGGGACTCGCGGCGCGCGCGTCAGATGGTTCGTTAGCTTTGCGTTGCTCGTAGTCCGCAAACATCACATGACCGAGCACCTGGCGAAACCCGCGCACGGTTCGCAAGTAATGTTGCAAAAACAGGCCTGGTTTGAAGTTTTGTTGACGCCCGCCTGGTTCGAAGCTTTGCCAGCTGAGGTTTGTTTGGTGTCTTGCATTGCTTAGAAGTCGAAGTAGATGGAGTGTCACAGGGGCTCCAAGTTTTCGACGGAGTTCGACGTCACGAACATGGCCAAAAGCTCGCTTCAGAGGTGAACCACGTTCCTGTTCCAATAATAGCACGACCATATACCAAAATCGTACGAATATCAATCTGTGGGAGGGACAGCGGGTGTGATACGTTACCGTCTGCTGACCCGTGGCCTCACCCAAAAACCCACCGACTGACCCGCGACCCCGCAGGGACGCGTTAGTTGACCCGTGACCTCACCCAAACAACCCACCGACTGACCCGCGACCCCGCAGGGACGCGTCAGTTGACCCGTGACCTCACCTGGACAGCTCACCGACTGACCCGTGACCCCGCAGGGACGCGCCAATGGACCCGCGACCTCACCTGGACAGCTCACCGACTGACCGTGACCCTGCAGGGGCGCGTCATTGACCCGTGACCTCACCTGGACAGTACTTCAGTCGGCCGGTGCCCCCGCCGGGCCTCGTGAGCCGTGACCTCACCTGGACGGTGACGGGCTCGTAGCCGTACTTCTGCGCCAGCGTGAGCCGGTCACGGGCGACCTGCTCCGGGTCAGCCAGGTAGCCGCGCGTCCGTGGGTCCGTGTAGAAGCCGACGGCGTCCTGCGGCGGCAGCGCCCGCCGCGGGATAGGCACCCCTGCCGAGCGGAGCGGCCGTCAAAGGCGTCGGTCACACAACTCAGACGTGGTACAAGGGAGGCTGTGGCGGGATGCGAACCCAAATCCATTGAGTGTCCAGAGCTTGGGTCGCGGCCAGTCCCGCAGCAGAACGTATGCTGTGGGTGCTGATTTAGACGGCTGGAAAGTTCTACGCCAGGTTCGGTACAGCGAACTTTCTTCATTATCGGCGTCTAGGCTGGAGCGAGGTCATAACTCAGAAGCCCAGCATGGTAATAAGGGAAAACTCTCAAAATCTACAACATAACAGAACTTGAAACTCAGCCTTCAAACGCATCACCCTCGGCCGAGCGGTTCATTCAAGATACACAAAATTATGCGTGTGCTGTGTTGCTTTCGCAAAATTATTAGTTTTATACAGGAAAACCCTTTTAAATCTCCTCACGCACCTCCTTTCCGAAAAACTTAAACAATAAGCCCCATAACAGGCTGAGGATCGCCGGACGTGATAGGCACTGGTCGCCCTCCCTGCTCCGGCAGCGTCGGGGAGAGTGGGCAAGCGGGAGGGGGTTAACCCCACTTCGGTCCCCATCCAAAGGTGCGTGCAATCCAGCGCCACCATTATCCAGCCAAACGCGGCACGGCCAAATCGCGGCAAGAACCGCTGGCAGCGGGGCAGAAACTAATGGCCGCTTAGCTGCAGGGCTCGAAGTTGGCAGCGCGGCCGGTTCAATCAGCAGTTAACGAGCGGGGCCGTCACCGCGGCCTGACGAGCGGTGCCGGCTGAAGAGCGGCCGACCAGCTGCGTAACGCGCCGGCTAGAGCGGCCGACCAGCTGCGTAACGCTCCGGCTGGAGAACGGCCGACCAGCTGCGTAACGCTCCGGCTGGAGAGCAGCCGACCAGCCGCGTAACGTACCGGCTGGAGAGCAGCCGACCAGCTGCGTAACGCTCGGGCTGAAGAGCGACCGACCAGCTGCGTAACGCTCCGGCTGGAGAGCAGCCGACCAGCCGCGTAACGTACCGGCTGGAGAGCAGCCGACCAGCTGCGTAACGTGCCGGCTGAAGAGCGACCGATCAGCTGCGTAACGTGCCGGCTGAAGAGCGACCGACCAGCTGCGTAACGTGCCGGCTGAAGAGCGACCGACCAGCTGCGTAACGTGCCGTCTGAAGAGCGATCGACCAGCTGCGTAACGTGCCGGCCGAAGTGCGGCCGACCAGCCGCGTAACGCGCCGGCTGAAGAGTGGCCGACCAGCCGCGTAACGCGCCGCGCCGCCGAGAACATGGCCGGCGGAGTCAGCAGACCAGACCGAGGACGGAGCCCGAGGTTATGCTCGAGCAGAACGGAGAGCCTCAGCGGGTACCACAGCCAATGGAGAAGAGCAATGTTTGAGGCAAGACGACATTGTCATCCCATGCTGTGGATTAGGCCTAAACTACACTCAGATCTTCACCGCGCACATAGACAGTGAATGCCGACTTCTGCATGCTGCGCACGGTTGCGCAACATCGGCGCGCCATGCTTCAACATTAGCAAGATGGCGTTCTCTGTGTAAATGTTGCATTCTTCCTGCCACAGAACGTGGGACACTTTCAGTGCTCACTGATGCCAAACGCAGGGCGTACGGCCTACTCGCCAACCTCGCGACGAAACATCCGCGTGAAAAGATGCGCCAGTTCTTTCCCACACTGATTTCGCGCCAACATTCAATCCTTCAGTTAGATTGTCGTCTTCCCGAAAATGAATCGGACCATTCAGCAAGCCTTTCGTTAATAGGACACTGCTACAGATAGCAGGCGATTCATAGGAGATGGGGCATCCATCATGCGAGCTGTCTGGAAGCCGACAGTGACATCTTGTGACAAGGACACTAACCGTAAAGCCACTTAGCCGCCATGGCAGTCCAATCGATCGGGCCAAATCTCAGCCGGATTAAATCCGCCACCAACCACGTCAGCCGCGCGGCGCCAGGCAAAAAGCCACTCCACGCTCCACGTGCCCATTTCGTCGCCCCACTCGAAGACCGATTCTGCCCAGCGCCCCCGGCCCAGAACGGGACGACTGCGGGGAGGGCGGGGCGCCGTCTCCGCTCCCCCTCACGAGCGTGCTCCGTCTGAAACGAACTGCTGCGGACCCGGCGGACCCGTCACCCCTGAGCCGTCACCCCTCCGCGACATTGGCCGCCCCCGAGTCATGACCGCCAGGGGCGCTCTTTTGTCGGACACATATCCAGCCGTCTGCATGGGTGGCCTTTGGATTCTTAGTATCCGTTAAGCGGAGCGTGTCGCGTGTGTCCCGAACTCCCCATCCAAGTTTTGCCGGCGCACTTCGTCGGATGATTTTGACTTCAATAATTTTCGCGGACGGAATTGCGCGGGCGTTTCCGTGCCATGCAGTGCTACGTCACTGACCTTCAGCGTCTGAAATGCTAAAGTTTATTGGCATGATACGTACTCTCATGATACGTACATGATACATGATACTTGTACTCCAGGTACGTGACAGGTGAATTGCAATGCTTTAACCCCCCCCCCAAAAAAAAAGCGAAAGCGATTCTGGAAGAAAATTTTTAGTGATACGTCTCGGAACACAATACCGATGAGCACTTGTGAACACATCACGCAATGCACTCGCAGGTCACTACGTTCTGGTTTTACGGAAAGATTGGGTTCCATCCCTCAGTTTCGGCTATTGAAAAGCTGGATGAGTTTCGGATCTTTCAAATGTGTAAGGAACTTGGACTATGCATCTGGCGTTTGCGAGATTAATCAAGCGACATGCTAATGCCAATCAATTTTTCCAACGTGAATGACAATGATGTGCGTCCCCCAACACGTACGTAATTTGGCTTAACTTCGTTGACTTGGCGGGAGATCACACGGGACCTAGGGACATCCCCATTCAATTCCTTGTGAAGGGCGGTTCAACGAAAAACCTATAAGGGATGGGCCTGGTACGCATTCCCAATGTGAGACTATTACTGATCTGGTCTCCGAACGCCCGTCATGCAGAATACTGCACAGCCACTTCCCACGCGAACTGACAGACCATCTCCCGCCTTCAACGAGAGACTACGTGTGTCAACGCAAGTCACCACTGAGTAATCTACCTCGAAATCGGCCACCAAATCCATATGCACAAAGACACAGCATACCCATAGCAAATGCGAGTCCTGTGTCCCCCTCCCCCGCTATCGTCTAAGCGGCATTAACGACACGCGCTAGAAATCACGCTCTCCGCATGGCCGTTTCTGCATTACACAAAGGCTACGGTCGATAGCTCCACGGAAGAATGGAACCGTTATATTCATCCCGGATGGAGTAATCATTCGGAATACCATCCTCACCTGCTGTCTGGCAGACGAGAACGATAGTTCGAGCAATTGTTCCATCCGTGCTGTAACTAATCCTAGCTGTGACGTCATAGGGCGTCAATGTATCCTGCCTCGCTGACGTCAAGAGACGTCACTGACTGCGCCCCGCTGCGTTTAACATCAGATAACACTGCATCCAAGACACGGGTAATCAAATGCGCCATCGGATAGGAAAAATAACAACCAAAAATAAATGATAACCGTAGCCAGCTAGACTGCAGTGACGTCCTAAAACGACGGGCCTGCTGGCTCTTTGTCATATTCGTCGAGAGTAAAAAAAATGTAATATGAGTAAAAAAAGCCCACCCCCCCCCCCCCCCCCCTGTAACCCTTCAAGTTTTCTGATTAAGTGTAGGCGGTGCGGCCGGCATCGTGATTCGCGTACGTCACATGGGGCCTGTCCAAGAATGACCGGGATTCCCTGCGTATAAACTAATCCTCACCTGTCATGCCCCAGTTGACACCTAATCAGAAAATGGCACAAATGAAAAGAAGCTTGTGAAATGTAGCGATCGCATTGCATTACATGAAGCGCTTCAATTCTTCTTTTTTGCCAATCTCATTCCCAGCACCAATGGAAGGTTTCACGGCGAATCGGCACAACGTGGGAAGTGTATGCCAACAATTAAGCACACGCGTTATTGTTTCGGTTTTATAATCCAGTCTAACACCGAAATCTTGTTACCATCCAGTCCGCTACAATAAGTGCTTTCTAAGCAGCGCAACGACAGTTCTCACGAAGGAAATGCGCCGCACCATTGAGGCCAGTTTCGTGAAAAACGGGTGGCGGGGAGCTCGTCTGGAGGACGAATTCCCGGACCTTAAATGTACAAGACAATCCATCAACCGGTTTATCCAGAAAACTTCAGGAAAC